GACATGTGGTGTTACAATATGCATCTTTTCAGGTAAGACCTAACTGTGATGAACAGCTCATTTTGGAAATACATTGAACAGAGCAGTATCTTGTGTTTTTTCTTTTAGAGTACATTTGGGGGTAGTCTTGCTCTGTGCTTCCCTGCTATAAATTGTGATTGTGTTCTCAGATGTGTGTGTTTTTTGTTTTATTTTTCCTTTAAACTTGCAGACTTACATTTCAGAGCTGAGGCTTTCCTTAGAATTCCAGTTCTTAAAAAAGCAGTTATATAATGTCAGGTTAAAAGTTGCTGTAACACATGACCTTAGAAATATGAGAATGGAAAAGGCTTATCTGCAGGAGAGGAAGTAGTGGTGGCAAATACCTCATTCAAAATATCAGTAGTAACATTTTTTTTGGCAGTCATCTTTGTCTCTCAGATGAACATTTCACAAGAGAAATGATTTCTATAAAGCAAAAAAAAATCTTAAAATCTATAATTTTTTCTGCCACAAATCTCTCTCACTTATTTTTATATATAGATATACATGCATACCCATACCTATATCTATGTATATCCTTAGACCTTGATGCATCCCATGCAGGTAATGTATTTGTAGCTGGACAACTGCTTTTCTTTAGCAGTTCAGAACAATGTCTACCTCTTGCCTACTCACTTCATCTTTACTCTGATTTTTAGTCTTACATGTTGCTGCTCATCTGGTGAATGCTCTTAACTTCTCTGAGAACTACAGTGAAGACTTTCTGGCACTAAATGTAGCAAACTATCGTGGTGAGGTAAGGCATCGATCCTTTTATATTTTGTATTAAACTTTGTACTTTAAATATGTAGTTAATTGAATATTCAGTTGCTCTGTGTTGTATACACTGCTAGTGGTTCTGTGCCCTGAAAATACAGCATCACATGGATTGTTTGATCCTGGAAATATTAATATATATTAATATCCATTGTGAATGGATATATTCTGAATGGATATATTTATGTCCATTCTGAAGCATATGTTAATAGCCATTCTGTTTAAGAGAGCATAATCCATACCTATTGGTTTGTGAGGTGGGGATACTGTTGTCAAGTTGTTCCACCTTGTGCTTCTTTCTTTATTCAGCTTCTCTCTCTGCTCTTTAGGTGGCCCTGGTTGAGTCACTTCTGCAGCTGTTTTGCAAAAATAAATTATGCAGTTGCAGTATTGAGTATATAACATGTATGTGACATACACTGAATATTACAGGATATTGTGTTTTAAGACTGATTTTGCACTTTTAAACTTCTCGTGACTTTCACTGGGAATTGTAGTGGGTATGTTAAGAGCCGGAATTAGATGTCTGTGTGAGATGGACTGCAAGATGATTTTTACTTATGAAATACTTTGGATGGCTCTTCTGCCCCTGATGCAGATCTCTTGAAGACATAGCAGAGTGCTAGCCCCTGGTCCAGTGCATTTTGCACTGGAGAGTTATTAAAAGATTTTAGGAGTAAGACCAGAGTATAGGAGGTTTTCTCTGCCGATCTACAATCAGTATCTCATTTGCTTCTATTCACTCTACTCTCAAGTCTGTGTTTCTTTTCTACCAACCTCACTGGGAAACATAGAGAATGGCCCTGCCCCAGTTTAATCTTTTCCTGGAAAAGTAGTCAGTCAGGACTCATAAGGACCTACACCCAAGGTCTCCCTCTTTCTGAGTAAATGATCTAACCACAGAGCTAATGGAAGATAGACATACCAACGTCAACTACTGTGTTGAGGTCTGGATTGAATTTAACTGTCTATGTTAGGAGTGGTCAAATGGACTTGGACTCATCCGGAGCAATGGTGGGAGTTTTCCTCAGGCAGGAACATACCAGAGGGTTTATGGCAGCCTGTACTAGGCTTTTAGGCATTTTGCTTTGCACAACGGATTTAGTAACAAAGTTAGGATTCGGGAGAAGTAAGACAGTTTTCTGTGAGACTGATGTATCCCCTCTTATCCTTCTCAAAGATCTTCTCTACTTCCACCTTTTCATATTTGGTATTGTCACCTCCTTTGTGTTCAGTCCTGCTTCACTGAAATCTACTGCAGGTCTCTTGTTGGCATAATTGGCAGTAAAATAATCTCTTCTTATCTTCCATTTAACTTAAAACCTCTCTATATTCTGCTCTTCTCTGTCCTCCCAAAGATATGAGCTAACTGAATGAATTTAGTCTTCCAAAATTAAATATCTGTAAAATTATCTGAGCTCCAGTTTTTCACAACAGATTATAATTGTCTTCAGTTGGTGGAACTCAAAGGCTAAAGGTTTAGTTTATGTTAAATATCAATCTGTGTAATCTGTTACCAAATACCACATTGATTCCTGCAGATTTAGTGATTACTTCTGCTAGCAAGCACATGAAATTTATGAGCTATTTATTATTACATAATTCATACGGATATAAAATCGCATATTTTTGTCTGTTTTTCAGGATCCAAGGAAGCTTCTTTTTGCTACTGGTAAGCCTGTTGCAAAACTGAATGAGAAACTTTGCTGCTTGTCTTTCACTAGACAAAGCATTTTGATCCTGTGTGTTGCATTTATTATAACTCAGCTAGAATGAGTTGTATTATTTGTATTAATATAACCCGGGTTTGCTTATCCAACAGTTGGGAGGGAGGAGTTACATAAACCCCTATAGTAAGATGAGCAACATCTTCAAAGCTGTTTTTCCACAGATGAATCAGTTGAAAATCATTAGTTTCAAACAGAGATTCTGCATGATTTGAAAACCAAATTTCTAAGTGATCCAATTTCTAGAAAAAGAACCATAACAAAAAAGCAGTCCACTTGCTTCAGCTGGTTTATTTAAGAGCTTTGACTTCAGAGCAATCTACACTTTTACATGGGAATCAGACTTCAGTACTCATAAAAATTAACCAAGCAAAGACACTTTTAGTGCAGAAATTCAGAAAGGAACATTTAGGTGCAGAGGGATAGGCACAAGTCTGAACTATAATTCTTCTCAAACAGATTAAGGTCCTTTCTGATGTTATCTGTCTTTCACATTTAATTAGATCAAATGTTGAAATATTGACATGCTAGCATTTGGGCCAAGAACCAAAGTGATTAAGCTAAATAGTGGGTTGCTGAGTGGGATTCTAGATCTGTCTAGAACCTAAGCAGGCTTACTAGGATTAGCAGTCTATGCTATTAGTAGTCTATGTGAAATTTCTGAAAACACTGATCAAGATCATGTAAGAGCAGAGGAAGTGTGAAATTGAAATGATAGAAATTCATTTAAATCCTAACTGAAAATAGGTCGGGTATCTGCTGTGGTTAGCAAATCAGTGGTAGAATGCTGGAAGATGATAACTTGGATTACTCCTTCCTAGGAGTAAGAGCTGTAAAACTGTATCTAGCAGCTTGGATAAAGAAGAAAGACTTTGGTGGAGATGCCCCATCAAATATTCTCCCACCTTTTGGAGACAGCTCGCAATCTGTGTAGTCCTGCAAGGTGGAACTCTTTTTACTTGCCTACAGTCAGGAAAATGTTGCAAATGCTGTTTGAAAATGCGAGTGTGTTGTTGCAGGAAAGGATGGTTCCAAATCATATTAAATGTGTGATGAGCTCGATCACTTCCTATCCTGATGACTTGTAATTCCTGTTTGTACTGTTGGAGTGCCCAGGGAAGGTCCAAGATTTTGCTACACTAGATACTGTAAAAAAGCACAGTCCAGTTCCCTAACATTTCAGGACTGGATTTATTTTCTATTTTAACACAATGGAGAGATGAAATAAGGAGTTGGAAGCATTTACAATGTGATAGCTTTACAGATCAGTCCAGGAAGGAATCTGTGGGAGATTCCTAACTGTGGGAGAAATAAATATTCTACATTATAGTTAATGAAGCAAAAGAGAGACAGGTACAGGGAGGAGATGGAAAAAAAGTAAACATGAATGGATGAATTGGGCAAGGCTGTGGGTGATTTGGTACTTACAGTTTAATGAAGAAGAAAATTTCAGAACTGCATTTAAAAGGTGACCTGCTGTGGCATGAGACAACATAGGAAGCTGGCTCAAACACTGCACTGCAATTGGATTGGAAGCATCTGTGTTAGGGGATATTGACTGCAGACTGTACCAATAGGTTTAGAAAGAACAAACGAAGAACTAGTCCACAGAAATAATGCACAGTATTTTTGTAACTGTTTTAATTGCAATCTTTCCACCAAGGGATGAAATTCCTTGTGAAATCCATGGCAAAGTATCCATCGATTGCATTACCAGGAGTTTTCAAAGCATTTGCAAAACTGAGTAATGATTTGGGATGTATCAGATTTCAGGAACCTTATTTTTCAGCAAGTGGGTGTTGAGAAGTGTATTAAAAATTCAGACTCACTGAAGAGTCTAAAATCGCAAATAATATATATTTTTTAAAAAAGTTCTTGTTCTTATCTGTAGGATGTGATCAAGAAAAAGATCCCAGGCCATAAAAATCTGTGGCTCTTGGATGCTAACTTTCATGAAAGTGTGAAAGACCTTTAGGTTCTGACACTTTTTTAACACTTATTCTGACACTTATTTAACATTAAGATTCACTTAAGAAGACATTTATTTAACATTCCACATGGATATTGCTCTCACTAACTTATTTAAAAGTAAATTCATGGATTTTTGGGTGACAAAAGGATTATCACAGAATCACAGAATGGTTGTGGTTGGAAGAGACCTCTAGATACCATTTTGTCCAACCCCCCTGTTCAAGCAGGGACACCTAGAGCATGTGGCACAGGGTGGCATCCAGGCAGGTATTATTATGCCTAAAAACTTTTAACAGTTTATATTCCTTAAGAAATAAAATACTTTGATGGAATGAAATCATGGGTTTTAGGTTCTTAATTGTCTAACTTACTTGCCTAACTGTCTTTAGGCTGATGGTTTACTGTACTTTTTGGGCAGGTTGCTACTTAAGGATGAGCTGAATCATGCCCTCAAAATCCTTATCTCCTTGGACTAAAAGAGCAGCACAGGATAGACTAGTTCTGATATGGGAGTCTGTAGCGGAGCACATGAGCCCAGACCTTAATGTTTTTGCTGGCTGTATCTCACTCTCACAGACCTTCCTCTATAGGCACCAATTTGAAGTGTGGTACAATGCCATGGAGAATAATTTCAGTCCTTTCTCACTGTAGGATGAAATGGGCTGGCAAACAATTATAGTGACAGCTTGCATAGAAATTGATTTGCTTGAAATTCTGTCCCTGAACAGGTTTTTAATTGTAGTGTTCTGGAGGGTTCTGAAGTCTGGAAGAAAAAAAGACATTTCAAAACTTGTCTTGCAGAAAACAGAGAATTTGTTCTTATTTACCTGCTTAGAGATAAATGTTATGAGCAAAGAAGTATGGGAGAAAAGACTAATAAGAAATTTGTGATGAATAATAAGGAAATAAGGAAATAGGAAAAAGAATAAGGAAAAAGATGTTTTTCTCTGAGAAGGTGGAAAATATATCTGCTTTTCACCAAGTGCTCTGTAGTATTTGATAAATGATTTTTCATCAGTAAATAAATTCATAAAAGAATGTGATTGAATCATGAATTGTATTTCTAATAAATTCCATATCTTAGGTTATAGGGTACAAATATTACTTGTCACAGTTCAAATGTAAATCATTCTGTCGTTGTTTCAGTTCCAGGTCTGACTGGAGTCATTATGGTATTAGTATTATTCCTAATGTGTACCGCTTCTACATATGCCATCAGGTAAGACATAATCTGATTATTATGCTGAATAATATCATGTTCTCATACAGATTGGAGGAAAGGTAATGCAAGAAGTATTTCAAAGAATATTTAAAAATATCTTGCCCGTTTTTTTACTAACATGGAGTTAAATTAGCCCAGCAAATATTATATTCAAAAGGTTTCAAAAACTAAACAAATAGCCTTCAGAAAAAAAAAAAAAGTAAAGCCTTTTAAGGGAAACACTCAATTAAAAATATAAACCTTTAAAAATTTGAACAGTTCTGTTTTCTTGTTTGTACAGCAAGACAGTAAGCATGTGGAAAGTGCAATCCAATGCATAAATTAAGGCCGTTGGAAGAAAAATAAGATAAATATTATCTTCATGATTTTCAGTTGTAAATGTGCAATTTGGAAAAAAATGAAAACAAAAACAAACAAAAATAAAAAGCAGAAAACCAATAACAACCAAGCAAACCCAAAGAGAATCAAGATACTTAAGAAGAATGTTTTTCTAAAGCTCTGCTTTTGGTTCTCAAATATGTTATATTTAACGGATATGATATTTTATAGAGTTAGAGTATGGAAACAGAAACATTTTATTGGCTCAGAATAAATGCTGAAAATCCTAGAGGATTAGTCCTCCACTGGGCTCCTGTTCTGCACCAGTATTATTGAACACATATTGTAGTATAATTTAGCAACCAGTTCTTTGAAGAATCTAGCCCAACTAGCCCAAGGATAGTAACCTTCTGTAGGCTTGGATTCTGCAACCAGAAGATATAATAAAACTTATTTACAGCAGTCTCTGTTGAAGTCAAAGACTAATTATATGAGTATGTCATTTTGATTCAAAAAACAAATGGGCTATTTTAATTCCATGTCTAACTTCAAATGCAATAGTAGGTCCTCTGATATCAGCTAGATGTGAATTTATGAACTTTGCTGAACTAGGCTGTCTTTCCTAAGTAGAAATATTGTTATGTGCTATTTGAAAAAAACAGTCCAGTAAGTAAATGTGCACTTTTCCTAAAGAAAGGTCCTTCCAGAATTAGGAACTTTAGAAAGAAATGGAGGCTACAGAAGCACAGGAAGACTGCTGCACAAGGTGTCAGATACGGTTGCACAGTGCATAGTCCACACAGATGGCAGTGCTTGCAAATGAAAGGCAATTTTGGAAGCTGGAAAAATGGAACAGCTACTTCACACTGCTGCAGTGTGCCAGAACAAAGTCCTGTTTTCTCCAAGGCCATGATAAAAGTAGAAAAATGAACAGCGTTTATTAAAGATTGGGAAAATTATGTAGTTGCAAACATATCCTTGGAAATAATGATTTTATGGTTCATGCAACAAAGATTTTCAGCTTTCCAGGTTGCATGGATGTTATTTCCTTCTTTGGTTACTGTGACTGCAAGTGTTTTCCAGTCTTTCCACCATCTAGCCAAAATCAAAGCCCTGAAGAGATCAAAAGAATCTCCTATTATTCTAGCACTAATTCTTATTTAGAAATTTTACTCTCACTTCTCCCTCAAGCATGTGGCTCAAGATTGTCTTTGTAGTCTGTTTTTCTAAGATGACAAGCTGCCATGTGCATCTTTCTATCATGAATGCCTTCCTTACCCCTTAATTTTTTGGCCCATGGTGGTAGATTTTGTAAAAATGCAGAATTCAAAATCATGTTAATCTTCTGCATGTTTTGTGAAAACACATAGGCTCCCAGAGAAGAGAGACACCTTTGTCCTCATTTTGTCAGTCAAAAAGGGGAAAGTGAGTGTTTTTTGAAAGTGCTTCTAAATTTTTGCTTTATATCTGTGAATCAGTACACCATTTTTTGTTTAACAGCTGTTTTAATGTAAACATGCAGATAAAAGTTGACATATGATGCTATCTCTACAAAAGTAACCCTGCTATCTATCAACTTAATGATGTTCAAGAGCATTTCCCTTGAAAACAATTACTACCAATTTTGGAAATCGTATGTGTAAAGGAACATTAAAATATAAGGTTTTAAAATGCCATCTCTTTTTATAGTCAAATATGTCTGTCTTCAGTTTCATCTTTTAAATTATCACGTATATATTCCTTTTCCAAACTATCCGTAAAAGAGTTAAAAATATTTTTGTCAGAACTCTACTATGTAAGTTTACCATATCCCCTTGAAAGAATTGCTGTCTTCTCATATGTTTCTCAATAAGTTAACTCTTGCAGAGCTTCACCTTCTAAAGTGGGTTAATCAAAATTAAAATTAAATGCTCAACTTTTTCTCCAAATTTCAGGCATTTGGGTTTCTAAGAAATATTTAATTCTCTGAATATTTTTTTCTTTACTGTAGTACATGCATACAGAATACTCTATGTAGCATAGTTTAGAAAAGATATAGATAAAGAAGAATCATATAAGGATTAAAATATTAGAAAATGATGTTCCTCACAGTGTGAAATTCAAGGATCTATATCCCTTTGTTTGGGGGTAAGGGGAGGCCAAGGGTACCCTCAGACCTCAGAAGTTGGGAAGTTCGGATTGAATTTCTATCCCTGGAAGTTAAAAAAAAAAAAAAAAAAGGGGGTTCTTTCTGAAAAAAGATACTCAAGATCCCATTGAATTAGTTCAGGACCTAGCTTCTGATGTTGTTTTCTGCAAGAAACCAAATTAATCCAGAGCACAAAGGCCCATGTAGGATCCAGGAGTAAATGGCATTCCCTTTGTGCTTCCCCATCATGTTCCCACTCCCCATAGCAACATCCTCTAGTTTCCTTTTACACATAATCTCTTCCCAAACTCCTTACAGATACTGATATGTGACTGATATTGAAATGCCTAACGGGATGTAGGTAGTTACAAGTGGTGTGAGGAATCTCCAAGAGGAGAAAGTGTCGGAGTGGTGACTGGGAAAAGGAAAAGGTTGCAGGACGGTTTTCAAAGCCCTGTGATGTTGTAGAGTTATTAGAATCACTGTTTCTTGGATGTTTTTCTTGGTGTGCCCACAAATAGATTATCTTAATGATCTTTTCTGACTTAAGAAAGAAAACAATAAGTCCTGTATTGACGTCAACTGATGTAGCGTACATTGCAGATGTGTCAAAACAGGTGTATTTAGTGTTATGTAAACGACTGTAGGAGGAAAAAAAAATGAAAAGGAGTTAGCTATGTCTGAAGAGTAGCTTCTTAAATTACATACTCAAGAGTTGAGATTGTCTTTTATTTAATGTTTTGGCTTGTTAGTGAAGGTAGAGGTGTTATTTTTTGGGGGGAGAGTTGAAAAGGACTCTTCTGCCATGCTTTATAGTATGAAGAACTGTATACGTGTTCTATTAAGTGGAACGTTTTAACTTATTCACTTCCTTCGTGTGCGTGTGTGACATTTTACTCAAGAAAAAATGGAGGGGAAAAAACAGGCTTAAAACAGTCTTTGCTAAAAACACACTGATGAAAGGAAGTCCTTCTTCCACTTCACCCATCCTCATCCTAGTAAAGCTCCCCTTGTTCCTTCTGAAAGTGCCAGTTGCGGAACCCCATTATATATATGTGTGTGTGTATCTATATATCTATAGATACACACATACATATGTGACTCCTGAAACTTCTCCTGCCTGTGGTCTTTTTGCTTCCTTGTTCCAATTCTCTTTCCTATTATACATCTTTCTAATATAAACCTGATATATATCTTTCTTATTTCCATTCCGTACTCTAAAAGTTTCTCTCTTCTGCTATCCCTTCTGATGCTGTCTGCTCTACCTATTTGTATTGTATTTAGTAGTGAAACATTAAACATTATAGCTCTGTGTTGGGATAGGGAGAATGCAAGTAGATATTCACTGTAAAGAGGTTGGAGGTTACATTAGGAGTCAGGAGGCTGGAGAACCATTTTATGTATGAGAATCTGGTAGGCACTATATGGGACCTATGAAAGCAGAGAAATCTCCTAATTTAGGAAATGTTCTCCAGCTAGCTCTGTATTTCCCTGACCTTTTTTCTTTTATATGTTTTCTTGTTTTTCCTTTTGTGACAGTCATTTATTCTTTTTGACTTCTAACAGCTTGTAAATATGGTGTGTGTGTATTTCTAACTGGGCTTTTTCTGTTCTGCATGACTGATGTATAATGATCTATGTCCATGGATCTGTTTTTAATTAGCAGTGTTTCTGTCTGGGTGAAGCCATTTGAAATGGCATTGATCTATGGTTTATTCTTTTCAGGTTCTCAAACTATGACATCTTCTGGTACACGCACAACCTTTTCTTTGTCTTCTATATGCTGCTGCTGATTCATGTTTCTGGGTAAGTAAATGAAAACCACCAGCCCTTTTCCTCAAGCAGAACCAAAGAGAACATTTTTCTTGCCTGTTGCCCTTCCTGAGCTTGCTTGTGTACATGGACCAGCCTCCTGAGAAGAAGTCATCTTTGTTTTTTCTGACAGACAGTTGTCTAAGTAAAGAGTTAAAGTTCAGACTGTAGCTTGGAGAATCATCTATTATTACAGGCAGCTAACCATTTTCTTCACTTTCAGATTTATTCTTTGTCTGTTTTGCCAGTTAAGAAAACATTATTATTGCTTTTCTGCCTTCTGTCACCTTGCTGCTGAGAGGAAGATAGAAAACTAAGTCGCTTCTTTCTGCCTCCTACCTCCCTACCTTCTCCTTTTGACTCCCAAGGAGATGGTAGGAAAGACCTCCTCCTATTTTTCCTCTCATTGCTCTGGTACAGAATTTGCTATTTTTTTGTCCAGATTATAGCACATGTACATCATAGCTGTGTTTCCATATCATCAAGCTCAATCATTTTTCTCAGATATATATCTGTCTCAAACAGGCCCAGCTTTGCTGCAAGACAAGCAGCCTCCATGAGTTCTGCCATGTGAAGATCTAGTCCATTATCAGTGAAGTTTTGTCTGTGGATAAAAAGTGCAGACATTGGTACAAGGAAGGGATGTATTTGAATGAGGCTAATTTCTCCATGTCATCAAACATCTACTAAAACATGGAGCACTGGAATTTCTGTGTGACACTGAGCACCACTGTTTAAAGTAAACAGTGAAAGGTAATTAGGCCAAGCCAGATCACTGTAGGAATAATGTTGTTGAACAAAACAAACTCAGCTTGAGATCTGGTGAATTAAAATAATGAGTTCAAACAATTGAAACTCCTGGACAAAATTCCAGTTGTTCTGTGGGCTTTGTGCTGTGGCATAGCTGTTTTTCATAGGGTTGAGGGAGTTGATTCTGGTCTATTCTTCTCATCGTAGGACAGGATGAGGGATAAACTTCCCAAAATTATTTCTGACTGATAACTTCTTGGAAACATCTGATGACTGAGATCTTCTAACTTCTTTAGATGATCTATTGCATTGATTGCCTTCCTAGTATTTTTAATATTTAAATCCAGTTTAAATCTCCTTCACTGGTTTTATCCTTTGCCTGTTGTTTTCCTAGTCATGTTGTTATGAAGAGTCTAGTTTGAGATTCACAAACCATGTTACCAAGTACTAAGGAGGTGTCTCTTTGTGCAGGCCTCCTTAAATGCTGAAATGGAAAACCTTTGAGTCTAAGAGTCTAAGAGTTTAATGAGTCTAAGAGCTGAATGCCAGATAAAAGTGAGAGAAGAATGAGTCATGGAGTGTGGGAGTCAGTACTGGATTAAGACACCTAAATTTAGATCTCTGCTTGTTTCTAAGTGTCTGTTTCCCATTGTAGTCTAATGAGTACTAATGAATACAGTCAATGGAGCCTGGAGAATGCTCCAGCTGACCTACTGCTATAGGTCTGGTCTATATTCAGGTAAACTGAAGAAAGAATAGACACCTATGTTTGGGTGACTTCTAAATATAATGCCCTAGAGATTTACAGGCAAATGGTCTGTTATTCTTTAGTGCAAGGCATTTCCTGTGACAGGACTGTGTAGGCAGATTGGGTGCAGATTTGCCTATTTTGGAATCTCTTCTTTGGAGTATTTCCATAATTTCCATGTTCCTGTTTCGTTTCAAACTGGATATGGATATGTTTTCATGCTATCCTGTTTTTCAGAGTAGCCAAGCACTGCTCAGCTGTATATTATGTGACATAATTCCTCTGTCATATGTGATTGGTTTGTTCTTTCATGTCTGCTCTAAGAGAGAGGAGAATCTTTCAGAGCATTATCCTTAGAGAGTTTTCTTGCTTTTATGCTTCTTGCAGTATGACTTTCAAGTATTATAGTGGCTTAGGGCTTGATGCATGTCTACATGAACTTATCTGTGTTTTAAACCGCTAATGGCAACATTAGAAAAAGTTTGGTTAAAATACAAGCTACATGTTTATACTACCAGTGTAAGGAGCTACAAAGCGTTTGGAACTGTATCCTCAGTTGGAACAAATCTGGTATTGCTGTGTTTGGAGTTAAATGGGTTATGCTGGTTCACAGCAGTTGAGAATCCAGCCTTGGTTGCTGCAGTTATCCGAAGGTTTATCTTCAGGAGTGTAAAAATTCTTAGCATTCCACTTGCACATTGATCTTTATCAGACCGAGGACCCCTCACCTTGAGTTGTGGAACAGAATGTGGATGAGAAGATAGGAGTAATGCAATTCCTTTTAAAGATATTTAGAAGTACTGATGTCTAGCTTATCATAAAATCTCAAGAAATAGCAATATGTTTTCCAGCTTTTAGCCAGAAGTGAATGTTTTCATCCACTGTCAAAGTATATATGTGTCTGCCATACATATAAGCATCTTCTTATCCAGTATTTTGTGAGGTAGATCCAATTTTCTCTGTATAGGGAGTGGAAAATTTGGTCAGATGTTGATGCATGCCCATGTCTATATGCTCTGTTTCTCAGACTGTCAGACACTTTCATATGACTTGTCCTTCCTCTCCCTCCAATTTTTTGTTTGCTGAAGATGCCTGTCTCCTACTTAGTGACTTGCATACTGCGCTTTTAAAAATTGAGCTGTTGTACCAAATAAATATATGAGGATAGGTATCAGGCTTCTTGGAGTTGCACAGAGCACAATCTCTTTGGGAACTGGTCTGGGGTGTGTGAGACAGTTTGTCTTTCCACAACTGCTTTAGAAATGGAAGTCATGGCAGCTGCTGTTACAGGCACCTATGTCATCCCAGTTCGCTGCTCAGTTAGCATTTTTGTAATAGCTTAAGCAAGCTGCAGATCACTGAAGGAGATGCTCGTGTTTGCAGTTCAGATATTCATGTCACAAAAAAAAAATTGAATACTTTTTCGGATGTTATGAAGCCAGAGAACCTGGGAGAGCAGCTGGTCAGCATACTTACTGAGGTATTATATGTGCTGTGACTTCCAGCTAAACCCATGAGGCACCATAATGTTTGTGGAGCAAGAAACTAGCATAGTTCTAGAGATATGTGTCATTTTGCAAATACAGGATGACCAACAGTGTTTCCAGATGCGAGCAGTAGGGATGAACAGGCAATAAATATAGACAAAAGCATGGGTGTAGGCATACAGACAATTCCCAAGTGATTTGCCCAGAATCAGACATGGAATTTAGAGCTAGCAGGTTTAAGTTCCAAAGTGCGTTATTCCCTGGATCATGTTGGAAGCCTGTTGCTGGCTGTCAGGGCTGTATTTCAAGTGGGGAAGAGTGCCAGGAGCCTGCCAGAGCCCATTTAACTTGGGAATATGGCTTAACTTGGGAATATGGCTTATGTTCTATTTCTCTCTGTTCTTGTGAACACTGTTGCTGATGCTATGTGTGTGTGGAGAGGGGGGCATGTAGCCTTATATTTGGAACGTAGGCTTGAGATGAGCCTTCTGTCTAGCACTCGGAAGGCAAATCTCAGCAGTCATTGCACTGATGTGCCTTATTTCCTAGCCAGCACCATCCTACCCAGCTGTCATTTAGCCCTTTGTTTTTCGAATATTTCTATTTGTGGTTTTACTGTCATCAAATACAGATTCTTTGGAGACAAGTAGTACTTCTGAAGAGTTTTATTGCTATTATTATCGATTCTTTCCCTGTTTGAATGATTCATGCATGCGTTGAGATATCCCAGAGTGTCTCAGGTTCCTATTCCTTAATTTCTAACCACGGATGCAAAATTCTCACTTTGTTTTAGTATAAATCTAACTCTAATCTAAAAAACAAGCACAGATCCTACAAAATAATTTTCTAGATTGGCTCCTTGGCTTTCATGCAGAGCTTTCTTCTTCCTTCTTTCCATTTGACAAGATGATGTTCAAAGGAGCAGTAATGCTCACAAATCATTTCATTATGTGTGATCCTGATAAACACCAAGTGGTGGGCACATTCCTGCAGTTTATGAGCTGGTAACTTAGGACACTTTTGCTATAGATTGCCTTAAGAACAGGTCTTAGTGACTCTAAGGAGGAGGAGTGAAATAGTCCGGGTTTGATTGAACTAGAATTATGATTATTTGTTTTTTTTTGAAGGCTCCCGCACTGTCTACCCCTTTCAAACAATGCTCAGCTTGAGGCTGCTCAGTGGGGAAATGCCAAGTGAACTGCAAAAGTTAAACCTTGCCTCTAGTGGATTTATGGTCGCAAAGCCTCATTGAAAGTCCAGAAAACAAACTAAAAAATCATATCAACAAGCCTTGGGACTACTTCCAAAAATCATCTTAAAAGAAAGGGAAACTACTTGGCTTTGACAGCTGCTTTAGTATCTTTATTTTTCTCTTCCTACAGAGGGGTGCTGAAGTACCAGTCTAATTTACAGGAACATCCTCCTGGTTGCTTTAATCCCAACAAAACACTTTGGGCGAATATGACGGTGCCAAAGGCTTTTGCAGAGACATTTCCTGACTACACTCCTGAGTCTTTCCCAGAGGATTTAGCAGTACCGCAACCCTTTGTGCAAAATAAGTTTGTGAGAATTTGTTCTGAGGAACCCAAGTTCCAGTCGCACTTCCCAGAGGTCTGTATGATCCGACATTTCAGGTATTACAAGTCATGCCAAGTCTTGCAGTCAGCCATAACCACTAATTTTTGCTTTTCCAGACCAGATGTTTTAATAATGGAAAACATTATTAAAACTTTTCCAGACATTCAAAGATTTGGTGAGAAAAAAACAATCTGTATTAAACTTTGATTGGCATTACTGTGTAGTGCATAGAATGGGGTGGAAAAATGTGAAGAGATCATCTGTAATATTCCCTTTTTTACTACATGATAAGGTTGATGTTGCTATAAATGTGATTCTAAATTACAGCATAGCATTTCAGAGCAAACTTAGTATTTATATAACATACTCACACAGTCCTTTTGTAAGTACTGTGAGGCAGTAGCTAATTGAAATAATCAAACACCATTTGTTCTCTTTTTTGCCATGCAGACACAATTCCTAATACGCATTCCTGAAATGCAGTTGTTTTGGGTTTGGCTTTGTGACAGGCTAGCCTGTTGTTTGCAGAGAATAATGTCATATGTAGTATGGGTAAATGAATATGATAACAATGGGGATTAAACAGCCTTTCTTTTTCTGTTTTCCTTTTTGTTTCTGCATGTCTTGCGGTAGTAACATTTTCTTCAAGCAGATTTTCTCATTTCTTCTGAGGAAAGATGAGTTGCGCTATATTGACAGGCAGCCCGAGGTACACAAATATCAGGTGTTCAAAGTGGTCCCATAACAGACTTCACAGGTTTTCCTATTTATTATTATCATTGCTTTCTGTGGAACATGACTGTCCCTTAATACCTTTTATGGGAGCCCATTTTACTATGGAGCATGTAATAATAAGAACTTGTAGTCAATGCTACACTAATGTCCTGCAACAGAATCCTTTGGATTTGTATTTTGTTGTGATACTACACTTGAGTTAAAAGTCTCAGTGTGCATCTAGCTTCCATATGACCTGTAGGATATCAAACTATGCCTTCTTTGGGGGTAAAGATGCATCCTTTAAACCTGTTTATGCAAAAGGAAGTGCCATGAAAAGAAATAGCCACTTGGTGTTTTCTTGGCAGCTTCTAACATTATTTTAGAATTTTTCTGCATGTGGAAATAGTTTATGTACTTAGAAATACCAAGTCCAAAAGAAAGAGCTTGCATTGCTCTTAGGGCGTGTGAGTTACTTGTGTTTTTATGGACAGAGATACTTGAGGAAATTAAAAGCTCCAGTAGTTGCAAGAGATGCTGATGTGTAACTTTAAAAGTTGGAGTGGGAGGATGGATGAGCGGATAGGGCACTTCCAGTGTCTTGACTTGAGTGACTTAGCAGATGTAGAGTTAATTGTTAGCTCTGCCATAAGCTCGTGCTAATTGACTTTTAGGATAGGATTCAGCTGAACAGCTGCAAATGTCTCCAGCTAGTCACACTGAGCTCTTTTTATAGTCAGTGCAGAGAAATGGGCACTTTCAGGGCACAATTTGTCTAGCAACACATCTTCCATAGGGGAAAATGGGTCCTGTTTCAAAAATGCCAATTTCTCTCTTGCCTATAATGTTCTACTAACTTACTACTTATATAAATTCTATAACACAAGGAGAGTTTCTTTCTTTTTTCTTTCTTTTTTTCTCTGTAACTGATTACATGAGGTAATAGTCAAATAATATTGCAACTAGGACAGTGTTTGCACTTAAAGGTTAACCGGTTTTATAGTACTTTGGTCAGTTAGATTTTGAAACAATAAATGTACTGCGTCATTTGCTTCTGAAATCAGTTGCAATCTAACTACATAAAAATAGAGTAACATGGTTGCAAATGAGGACATTAGCATTTTGTTCCTGATTAGTTTTATGATTGAAATCATTTGTGCTTGTGGATGTTGCTGCCAGATAGACTCATTAAGTCCTCGTAATGAGCTTGGATTGCGTGTAGAGAGATGTGGAGATTATTCGTGACCAAAACACAGCCCAAAAAAAGGTGTGAAATGAGATCCTGCAAGCACTCGCATTATTCTGAAATTAGAAGACATACGATGAAAAGTCCTAGGTGTAATATACTGTTGTTTTTCCTTAGACATGGTTTTGGATTTCTGGACCTCTGTGCTTGTATTGTGTAGAAAGGCTGTACCGCTACATCCGCAGTAATAAGCCAGTCACCATAACTTCAGTGATAAGCCATCCCTCCAACGTCCTCGAAGTAAGGATGATGAAAGTCAACTTCAAAGCAAGGCCTGGGCAGGTGAGTTGATGTGCTCCTAAAAAATCACCACTATTCGTATAGCATTGTCTGGTTTCCACTTTGTATGCACTAACCCACCACAGAACGTTGTCACAATATGTTTTCCATCATTTATTTTTCTTTGGCTCATTTTATTTCAGTATGTTATTCTACACTGTCCAAGAGTGTCAGCTCTAGAAAGCCACCCATTCACCCTTACCACGGTAAGAAACCCTTTTACTTTGACATAAAGAGTTTTTTTAGGTACTTTCCCATTTATTTATATTTGGTGAGCAAATGATCTCCATTGCCTTCAGGGTGAAAAAATCCCTTCAGAAGAGTGTATGTTTCATTTATAAGGGTAACAATGAGTATGAAATGGCATAATTATAATGTATGATAGTACTCAATACATATTTAATTTTCTCTACTGTTGAGAAAATTGTAATGAGAACTTTTTTCAGAGTTTTACGTAAGTGGAAAACAATAATAAATAAATAAATGAAATCCATGTGATTTTGATTATTCAGTTTCAAATAAAAGAGGGTTCAGCCATCTGTTTGTAGACCTTAATGCAGAATGAGCACATATTCTAATGAATTTGCTATCATTTTTGCTATTCAGTGAAGTGAATAGACATTTCCCTCAATTGCTTCTGCAAACAAAGTTAGAGGAACATGAAGTTTAAAAAAAAAGTTTTTAACGTCTTCTGCTTTTTTAATTATTATTATTAAGAGATATATCAGTGACTTAAAGTGATATACCAGTGAAGTCATACAACCTTGAGATTATCACTTATTTTGCCTAGTCTAACTAGAATGAGACCTCAAAGTTCGGAAAGACTGAAATAAAGTGAAATTGTCTTTGAATGTTCTTGAAGCTGTCCAGGTATGAGCAGTAGTGACCTAGTAAGTGTTGAAAAAATTGTAAATCCAAATTTCAGCAGAAATTAAGTTTGTGCTGTAAATCTGGCAGTGCATCTTGGTTAAGGAAAACCTCTTCATGGTTTAGTGAAGGAGTATTGATGATGGTATGGTAGAAAGGTCTTCCTTCTTGACATGGGCAAATGGTGACTTGCAGCCAAGTGCGGTGTTTTGCATTTGAAAAAGAAGTGTGATGAAGTCTGGTATTTGCAAAGCTTTTCTGGCTATTCTGATTGCCAGTAAAAAGCAGAGGCATGTGGTATTTATCTGTTATTAACTCCAGTAGGCAATAATTGAGGCCATCCTCTGTATAATGCCTAAAAATAACTAGAAGTGCAGTGCTTAAAAAAGATGTGCATTGCAGTATCCGTGGGATGGTAGCTGTATTTTTTTTTTCTTGGTATAAAAAGATTTAATCAGTATTTCTACTTTTTGATTAGTTTAGCAATCAGGAGGTAAATTTAAAGGACTCAGCATAAGTCTCAGATTGCTCTTAACAGTAGTTTTGCACTGGCAGAGCTTTAATGGGGTTATTTCTGTTCTGTAGTGGTTCATACTTCTCACTTGAATGAACATTATGTTCTTATTTTCTGACTATCCAATCAGTGGAAATTAAAATAGTAGTAATAATGTGATTGTTATTAGACAGTGCATAGTTTAGAAGATATAGGACATTTATAAAGATTTCATCTTTTTATATGAGGACACTGGTGAAGTAAAGGATTGTGATATTAATTTCCAGAAATAATGCCATCACAGAATATAAAGCCTGATTCAGTAGTAATATTCTCTCAAGCAAAAATTGGTCAGAAAAGAGACTGCTGAAATGAACTTACTGAGTTAGGTCACAGGATGAAGTTATACAGAAAGTTTTATTCTGATTAGATTCTTTGCACAATTTCAGGATTTCATACACTGTTTTAAAGGACTTATTATAATACTGACTGTTATTAAAAAAAAAGATTTTTGCAGGAAAACTTCTAGGAAACTTGTAGGTCTGAGAGCTATGTAAAACAGATCTGCTGTTCTGAGTGTTTTCTTAGTGAATATAAATCACTCAGTTATATTCAGATATAGTGCAATTTATTTTAGTTAGATACACAAGTTTAGCTGATAAAGTGTGTGCATTTTTTACAATTATGTATTAAATAAAAAATATTAAAAAGTACAGTTTTTACTCATGCACAATGCATTATATTTGAAACACGTAATATAGAACTGGCAATTTCCGTGCATGGTCAATGCATTATTCTTTAAATTACAGTTGTGGTGTTCAACATAATAAGATATCCTTCAAGACCATGTTTTAACTGTAAGATATGAAGTTTCTACTGGGTTATTGAGTTTCATTTTTATTGCCACAGACATATTTCAGCATCATTTGTGCTGCAGACAGGACTGTTATTGGATAAAAAGCAGTTTTATAGCATAATAAGGAGTTGAAATGTCTAGGTTTATGACAGTCTTCTTTCCCAGTCTAAGCAAGGGACAGTCATTTCCACATGCCTTACTAAGTCGGGAATACATTTTGGGCTGCTGTCCTGATAGGAAGGTTACTTTACTTTAAGGTGATACCAGACACGGCAATATGCTTATGTAGGGTATAGGCAATATCTTAATTCTGTACATTTTCTTGCTCCCATCTGACCCACTTGTAGCTGTGACTCTTACCCAAGCAAATAGAAAGTGGCAGCCGTTATTAAAAAAATGTGTGCAATGCTGTCTATTTTCCTTTTCCTTTTTCTTTCTAATTAACATCCTTCTTTCCATTGCTAATGGAAGGGGTGAGTAGATAATAGGGGCAAAATGAACATGTGAATTTGGAGAAACACAAATCATGGTCCTGCAGAACTCAGAGTTGCCAATCTGGCTTTTTGCTAACCTGTGGCTGGAAGCTTCAGTCAGAGATTTCTGACCCATGTCCAGGCTCTCGGAGATCCTGTTTTTCTCTCTTAATTGACACGGAAGGTGGTGTTTTGGAACTCCATTTTTAAAGTACCCTTTTACCTGTTTTATGCTTGGAATGGCAAAGCGCGGATGACCCAGCATCTGAGATTCC